TATTTGTGTGGAAAATAATAAGAGCCTGGATTAGGATGGTAACCATGGAGTTCAACACAAGTGGATGGATTCGAAATGTATTTTAGTAGTGGAGCATAAAGGACTTCATGGTGGTTTAGAAGTGGGCGCTCAGGGGAAGGGGTGGTGAGTCAGTGTCCTAACTGAGATTTGAACATAGGGCTGTGTAACCTAGGTATGAGCTTCAAAAAGTCTCTTTTGGAGCCACGTAAGGAATCGACTGGAGGGGAGAGAATAAGGCCAGGGAAGGGCCTGATGTCTGGGTCCAGGTGGGAGAACAAAAGTCCTGAGTCAGCCCGAGCCACGAGGACAGAGAGGAGGGGACAGAGTAGAGAATCAGGGGGAAGAAGGGATTGGCTTAGGGACTGATGGGCCATATGAGAAAGAGGGAGAGAGGAAATGAGGACATCATCCAGGGGTTGGTCCACCAAGGAATAAAGAATCTGTGAACTTGAAGACAGATATTTTGACATTATCCAGTCAGAGGAGAAAAAAAAGAATGGAAAAGAGAGAATTCAGTTTGTTTACATTTTGTTGAGGATTGTTGCATCTATGTTCTAAACTTACACCTCAAGGGACTAGAAAAAGCAGAAATAAGCCCACAGGTAGCAGAAGGAAGGAAATAATGATTAGACCAGAATAAATGAAATAGAGACTAGAAAGAAACAAAATAGATGAATGAAACTAAGAGTGGGTTTTTTGACAAGATGAGCAAAAATTGAAAAACCTTTAGCTAGACTAAGAAAAAAGATAAACGGCTCAATTAATAAAATTATAAATGAAAGAGGAGACATAACAAATGATACTACAGAAATACAAAGGATCATAAGAGACTACTATGAGCAATTATACACCAACAAATTAGATAATTTAGAAAAAATGAATAAATTACTAGAAACATACAACTTACCAAGACTGAACCATAAAGTAAATCTGAACAGACCAATAATAAGCAAGGAGATTGGGTCAATAATCAAAAATCTCCCAACAAATAAAAGCCCAGGACCAGATAACTTTATGTGTGAATTCTACCAAACATTTAAAGAAGAATCAATACCAATCATTCTCAGACACCTCCCAAAAGTTGAGGAGGAAGGAACACTTCCAAACTCATTTTATGAGACCAGCATTACCCTGATATCAAAGCCAGACAAGGACACTGCAAGAAAAGAAAATTATAGGCTAATATCCTTGATGAACGTAGATGCAAAAATCCTCAATAAAATACTAGCAAATTGAATTCAGCAGCACATCACAAGGATCATACACCATGATTTAGTGTGATGTATCCCTGGGATGCAAGCATGGTTCAACACATGGCAGTCAACACATGTGATATGCCACATTAACAGAATGAAGGATAAAAAGCATATGATCACTTCATTAGATGCAGAAAAGCACTTGACAAAATTCAACATCCTTTCATGATAAAAATTCTCAACAAATTAGGTATAGAAGGAATGTAACTCAACATAATGAAGGTGAAAAGTTAAAAGCCTTTCCTCTAAGATCAGGAATAACACAAAAATGCCTACTCTTATCATTTCTATTCAACATAGTACTGGAAGTCCTTAGCCACAATAATTAGGCAAGAAAAAGAAATAAAACTTATCCAAATCAAGAGGAAGAAAATTATCTGTTTGCAGACAACGTGATCTTATGTAGAAAACCCTAAAGACACATCAAAAACCTGACTAACAAATGAATTCAGTAAAGTTGCAGGATACAAAATCAACATACAAAAGTCAGCTGCAGACTTCCCTGGTGGCACAGTGGTTAAGAATCCGCCTGCCAATGCAGGGGACATGGGTTTGATCCCTGGTCCAGGAAGATCCCACATGCCACAGAGCAACTAAGCCTGTGCACCACAACTACTGAGCCTGCACGCCACAACTACTGAAGCCTGCACTCTCTAGGGCCTCTGCTCCACAACAAAAGAAGCCACCACAGTGAGAAGCACGCGCACTGCAACGAAAAGTAGCCCACGCTCACCACAACTAGAGAAAGCCTGCAAGCAGCAACGAAGACCAAATGCAGCCAAAAAACAAGTCAGCTGCATTTCTATATTCTAACAACAAACTATCTAAAAAAAACTTAAGAAAGCAATTCCATTTATAATTGTATCAAAAATAAAACACTTAGGAATAAATTTAACCGAGGAGGCAAAAGACCTGTACACTGAAAACTATAAGACATTGAGAAAAGAAATTGAGGAATACACAAATAAATAGAAAGATATCCCACGTTCTTGGATTGAAAGAATTAATATTGTGAAAATGCCCATAGTACCCGAAGCAGTCTACAGAGTCAATGTAATCCCTATCAAAATTCCAATTTTCACAGAAATAGGAAAAAACTGTCCTAAAATTTGTATGGAACTATGAAAGACCCTGAATAGCCAAAGCACTCCTCAGAAAGAAGACAAGGTTGGCGACATCATACTTCCTAATTTCAAACTATATTACAAAGTTATAGTGATCAAAGCAATATGGTACTGGTATAAAAACAGGCACATAACCAGTGAAACATAATAGAGAGTCCAGAAATACACCCATGCATATACAGTCAACTAATTTTTGAAAAGAGTGCCAAGAACACACAGTGGGAAAAGGACAGTCTCGTCAATAAATGGGAAAACTGTATAAGCACATGCAAAAGAATGAAACTGAACCACTATTGTACACCATTCACAAAAATTAACTTGAAAAGGATTAAAGACTTAAATGTAAAACCTGTAACTGTAAAACTCCTAGAAGAAAAACATAGGGAAACAGCTCCTTGAGTTTTACCACATTGGTCTTGGCAATAGTTTATTGGATAAGACACCAAAAGCACAGGAAACAAAAGCTAAAATAAACAAGTGAGATTACATGAAACAAAAGAGCTTCTACATAGCAGAGGAAACAATCAATATATTGAAAGGGCAACCTTTTCAATGAAGAATGTGAGAAAATATTTGCAAACCATATACCTGATAAAGGGTTAATATTCAAATTACATAAAGAACTCATATAACTCAACAGCAAAAAAGCAAATAACTCAATTTGAAAATGGGCAAAGGACCTGAATAGACATTTTTTTCCAAAGAAGACATACATGTGGCCAACAGAGGTATGAAAAGGTGTTCAGCATCACTAATCATGACGGAAATGCAAATCAAAACCATGAGATTCCACCTCATAACTGTTAGGATGGCTATTATCAAAAAGACAAGAGATAACAAGTGTTGGTGAGGATGTGAAGAAAAAGGAACCATTGTGCACTCTTGTGGGAATGTATAAATTGGTGCAGCCACTATGGAAAACAGTATGGAGGTTCCTCAAAAAATTAAAAATAGAAGCACCGTATGCTCCAGCAATGCCACTCCTGGGTATATATCCAAAGGAAATGAAGTCAGTATCTTGAAGAAATATCTTTCCACTCATGTTCATTGCAGCATTATTCACAATAGCCAAGATATGGAAGCAAATGTCCTTCAACAGATGAATAGATCGAGAAAATGTGATACATCCCTAACCCTAACTTTAATATATATATCACAATGGAATATTATTCAGCCATAAAAAAGAAAATCCTGCCATTTGGGACAACATGGATGAACCTGCAGTGGGGGGAGGGGGAGGTGGCATTCTGCTAGGTGAAAGAAGCCAGAGAAAGAAAAATACTGGTACCATTTATATGTAAAATCTTTTTAAAAAAAAAAATTTAAAGGCCAATTTCATAGAAACAGAAACAGATTGTAGAATGGTGGTTGTCAGGGGCTAGGGAGTGGGGAAAGTGGGGAGACACAGATCTAAGAGTATAAACATTCAGTTATAAGAGGAATAAGTTCTGATCAGAAGATCTAACGTACAGCATGACAATTATAGTTAATAATACAGGTTTTTTTTTTTTTTTTTTTTTTTTTTTAAATAATAATACAGTTTTGTGTGCTGGAAAGTTGCTGAGAGTAGATCTTACGTGTTCTCACCATACACACACTAAGTTTACTATGTGAAGTGATGAATATGTTAATTAGCTTGAGCCTGGCAATCATTCCACTACATACATATATGTATATATGTATGTACATATATACATATAAAATCATCATTCTGTACACTTTAAATATGTACAATTATACTTGTCAGTTATTCCTCAGTAAAGTTGGAGGAAAAAAGAAAGCCCCGAGTCAAAAATCAGAATACTATTAATATGAATTGATTTTTGATGACATTAATAACAAATAATTACATTTGGAGACTTAAAAAAAAAAGTGGATGAGATCGCTCAGAAGAAAGAGAGGGTACTGGGTCTCTAAGAAGGTCTGGTTTTCCAGGGCCTGGGTGGATGTCAAGATGGTAGGAGCATCCATGATGTTAAAAATCCATGAGGCGTTTAGGACTTGACAAAATTGAGGAGCCTGCAGGGCATCAGGGGAGACCTCAAAGGCTGCTGGCTGCGGGGCTTGGGCCTAGAGACAATCAGGTACTGCACACCCGGATCTAATGGCCAAGGTCCTGGGCTCAATCCTGACTCCTGTGGGGCCTGCCCCTCTAGGGGCCTCACCGCAGAAGCAGGAAGTACTGCCCGAGGCTCAGCTTCCGCTCTGAGTGTTCTGGTACCGCCAAGTCACCCCCTCGCACTGGGGACCTTCCCACTTGGGACCTGCAGCACTTTCGCTTCCCCCAGGTGCGCAGCCCCTGGCCCAGCACGTGGGAGGACCTTGGTCTACACTTGTTGCCAAGAACAGGATGCAGACTCCGAGAGAGGGGCAATGTCGGGAAGGTGGGGGAAGGGGGTAGATAAACAGAGAAAGAAGGGCAGGCACATAGATAAGCGTCCAGAAACCAGACAGGGAAAGGATAGAGACCTGGGGCGGAAGGGGACAGAGACCCAGAGGTAAAGAGAGGATAAAGATCCAGAGAGAAAAGAACAGAGACTGAGAGAGAGGAGGACAAGAAACTGGGAGGGCCGGGAAGCGGGGACAGAGACGAATGCAGAGATGGCAGAGCTTTGCAGGTGGTGAGGTCGGAGTGTCTGTGAGGTCGGCTGCTGTCCAGGGCTGGCCTGGGGTCCTGGTGCCCAGAGTAGGTGGGTGCAAGTAGATCAGGATTCCCTGCGCGTCCCCCAGCCTGAGCCATGGAGACCTGGGAAGAACTGCCTGGTGTGTCCTTGGTGCCCACCAATTCCAAGGCCCCTCAGGTACTGGTGTGTGCATCCCAGTGGGGCAGGTGAGGGAGATGGGGACAGAGACACAGAAGAAAGTCACCTCGCATGTAAAGGGAGGGGGTGGGGCTCTGCCCCTGGAACTTCCTCTTTCTCTGAGTTCTTCCTTTCTCTTCTCTCTCGGCCTCTCCCTATCTCTCCCTCAGGCCTGCGTCCCCCTACTGCCACCACCCCTTCTGTCCTGTCCCTCCCACTGTTCTCTCACACCTCTAGGAGAAGATGTCAGCCCAGGACAGCTGCCTCAGCCTCATCAAGTACCTCCTCTTCGTTTTCAACCTCTTCTTCTTCGTGAGTTGCCTCCCGGCGCCCCAGCCCAGGCCCCAGCCCCTGCCGCAGCTGCCCAATCTCAAACCCCCCTTTGCCCACCGGCCATGCTCTCCCCTCCTCTCCCCAGGTCCTAGGCAGCCTTATTTTCTGCTTCGGCATCTGGATACTCATCGACAAGACCAGCTTCGTGTCCTTTGTGGGTAAGGGAGCTGGGGCAGTCCGGGTGGGCCTTCCTGGAGCAGGCATGAACTGGGCTCCCTTCCAAGGACCTCCTGTGGTCTCCCTCAACCGAGGGAGGCCCATGGTGCCCAACTCCCTGTTCTGATCGCAGGCTTTGCTCCACCACTTGCTACTGCCATAACTCTCCGAGCCTCAGCTTCTTCCTCTGGCAAATGAGTTGTGCGTACCAGTAATAATAATGGCCATTTCTCAGACACTTCCTAGGTGTCAGATCTTGGGCAGAGGCTTATCAGATTCTCCCATAAATCTTCCCTCTCTTGAGGCTCAGAGAGGGGAAGACACTTACTGGATGTCACACAGCAAGGAAGTAAAAGAACAGATCAACACTAATAATAATTGTAGGAAAATAACAATGGGGTAATAGTCAAAATCCTAATGGCTCATATATAATGTGTTTGCCCTGTGTAGAGGACCAGTTGAACACATGCCTCCCATGTGTTGCTCAAAACAACTCTAGGAAATAGATAACATTATTCCCTAGGTCTCAGGGAGGTTTAGATGGCTGATCCAATGTCACAGAACAAGTGATGGGGCTGAAACTATTGGGGGTGGGTAGGAGCTGACGGAGGAAAGAGAGACTGAGAACAAGAGGGAAAGACAGAGACCGGGAAGAAAGAGGGACAGAGATCTAGAAAGAAGGGAACAGAGATCCAAAGAGAGAGAGGGACAGAGACCCACAGAGAGAGGTGGAGAGAATCCCAGAAGAAAAGGGATAGAGAGATTCAGGGTGGGACAGGGACAGAGACCCAGAGAAAAGGATGCCAGGAGCCCAGGAAGAGGTCCCCCAGGTTACTGTCCCCCGCTTGGGTGGTGTGTGGGTATGGAATGGGGCTGCCTGGAGCTGTGCACATGGAGCCAAACGTCACTGCCTCTCACCTCCCCCAGGCTTGTCCTTCATGCCCTTGCAGATCTGGTCCAAGGCCCTGGCCATCTCAGGAATCCTCACCATGGGCCTTGCCCTCCTGGGCTGTGTGGGGGCCCTGAAGGAGTTCCGCTGCCTCCTGGGCCTGGTGAGTGCCCCTTCCCCCTCCATCCCTAGGCTCATTCACATCTTGCCCTCAAATAGAGCCCTGGCAGCTCCTTCATCCTGCGGAGGGATTCAGCCTGACCTCTCCACTCTGCCCCTCCCCAGTATTTTGGGACACTGCTGCTCCTGTTTGCCACACAGATCACCCTGGGAATCCTCATCTCCACTCAGAAGGTACAGGTGAGTTCCCCTTCTCCCCCCGCCAACCCCAGCTAGTGGGTGGTAGAAAGAGACGGAAACAAAGGCAGACAGGGGCTGACATCGACAAAGAGAAATAACAGAGATAGAGAAGACAGAAAGAAACAGAGATACGGAAAGACAGAGACAGATGCAGAGACTAGCAGAGAGACACAGAGAAGGAGCTAGAAACAGGGAGGGCCAGAGAGACTCACCGACACGGACAGAGGAAGAGAGACACAAATCCAAAAGGAAGCAGGAAAACAAACAAACAAACAAACCTCAGAGAAACAGAAGGCTCCGAGAAAGAGACAGAAACCGAATGAGATCATGGGAGATAGTGGAGAAACGGAAAGACAGACGATAGAAACAGGCAGAGAGAGAGAGATTTTGAGGGATAGAGACATAGCTAGCCATTCAGTGAAAAACCGAGGCCGACCTGAAGATGCTCAGGGACTACCTGAGGCTAAGACAGCCACGGAGTGGTTGGAGTGGGTTGGGGCAGGTGGCGGTGGGGAGGCAGGTGGTGGTCCATCCTCACTCTCGGCCTATCAGCTGGAGCGGAAAGTGGAGAACGTCGTGCTGAAGACGATCCAAACCTACCGCGCCCACCCGGAGGAGACGGCTGCGGAGGAGAGCTGGGACTACGTGCAGTTTCAGGTGCGTGAGGCCCCCACCCACCAGGATCCCTCCCTCTAGCTCTGGGACTCTGACGTGGCTCCGCCCACTGCCTGGAAGAGACTTGGCCCCGACGCGACCTGAGCCCCCAGCTCTAGGACCCTAAAGTAACCCTACTCACCTACTCCACCTCCAGCCGCGGCGACGTGGCCCAGTGCCCCAGCTCCCAGCTCCTGCAGTGGCTCCGCCCCCCGCCTCGACAAGACTCCACCCTCAGCCCCAAGGCCCTAGCGTGACCCCACTCCCTGCCCAATAGTGACTCTGGTTCCCAAGGGACCCGGCCCAAGTGAGACTCCATTCCCTGGTCACTCACATGACCCCGCCCTCCCATCCATTTGTCCCCTCCCTGAGGCTGAATTGTACTGCCTATCCACTCTTCAGTCCACAGCACGATTCTGCAGTTCCTCCCCCGAGCCCCATGACCCCTACCCCCGTGACTTGTCTCTCCCAACCTCATGTTCGCCTAATGTCTCCTGGCCCTGCCATGACCCCAGCCCCGCTCACAGTCCCCCACCCTGCACCCACCACTTAGCCCTCTACTCCCCAGTATGACCTCATACCCATCACCCAGTCCCCTGATCCCCCAAAGCATCTTGCATCCCTCCAGCCCCTGTTCCTCTGACTCTTGTCCCTCTCCTAGCTGCGCTGCTGCGGCTGGAACTCTCCTCAGGACTGGTTCCGTATCCCCAGCCTGAGGAGCAACGAATCGAGAGGGCACCGCGTGCCCTGCTCCTGCTATAACTCATCGGCGACCAACGACTCCGCAATCTTCGATAAGATCTTCCCTCAGTTCAGCGGGCTCGGACAACTGGCGCGGCCCCGACACAATGCAGACATTTGCTTGGTCCCCGCGAACAGCTACATCTACCGTGAGGTGGGGAGGATTTGGAGCGCAGGACGTAGGAGGGGCCTGACAGGGTGGAGCTACGAGAAAGGGAGGTACTACAAGAGGAGCAGAGCTCCTACAAGGGGCGGGGTCTTTTGAAGGGCGGGGCCTAAAGAAAAGGCCTAGGCGAAAGGGCAGGATCTGGAACGCTGATGCCTGGGGAGGGGGAAGGCTTGGACCGGCCGAAGCGGAGAGACTAGAGAACCCTGGTAACTAGGGAAGGGGAGCGGTACCTGAAAGAAGGGTTAGGGCTGGGCGGAGAAGAACAGTGGGCCCAGGCTTGAGGGCGAATCCCCAAAAGAACCCTACCTGTAACCTCTCCCCTATATCCCCAGGGCTGCGCACGGAGCCTCCAGAAGTGGTTGCACAACAACCTCATTTCCATAGTGGGCATTTGTCTCGGCGTGGGTCTACTTGAGGTAATCTGGTCCCGCCCCCACTCGCGATTGGTCTAGATGGCCCCGCCCCAAATTGCGCGTCCAACCATTCTCTCAGGGAAAGGCTCATGCGTGATACAGCGTCAGCCAATCCAGGCCCTCCTGAGGCTCCACCTGGGACGAGGGAGGAGACCTAGCCTCTGTGAGCCCTGATTGGTTGCGCGGAGGGAGCAGGCGTTCCCGCCCTTCCTCGCGAGGCTCCCATTGGTCCTCCTTGGCATATCAGCCTCCTGCTATTGGCCGCAATATCCCTCCCCTTTCCCCTCAGGTGAGTGTGGCGGGGCTGAGCCTGCTACTACCACGCAGCATGCTCCGCCGGGAACGCCAGCCGCAGGTTCGAACTGCGGGCCCGGCCCGAGCACCGATGGCAGCGGCAGGCGCTATGGTGTGCTGAGCAGCAGCGGGCGTAGCGGCAGTCTGTGGGTTGGCTGGGGCATGGCGGTGCCTGCCCTAACTGGGGGGACAAGGCCCCGCAGGGTAAGCTGCCCATGGCTCTGGGGCCCTGGCCCCTTTGGGATCAAGACGAGGAACAACCTGAGACCGGGAGTGTAGGCGCGGAGATGGAGGCCGAGATGGAATTAGAGGCCGAGACGGAGGGCGAGATAGATAAGCCTCCGGAATAAAGGACTTTGGGCTTTCTCCGGATCACGCGGCTTCTCAGACTCTAGACCTATGCTAGACGCAGCTGGATTCCCTCTACCCCACCCTATTCCTTCCTGCTTCAACTCCGCTCCCACCCCTCCCCGGCCCGCCCTTTGGTGTCCTACCCAATGACCTCTAGCCCTTTTACCCTTAATTCCGCCATATTCTCCAAACTCCCGTCCCTGACTGAGTCTTTCACGACCAGGCCCAGTTCTCCCTCTAGTCCCACCCATCTCCTACCTACTCCCTTCTCCACACCTCCCATGACGCAGCCCCGCCCAACTCGCGGGCCCTTATTTTCTTCCCCTGGCCCCACCCCCTAGGTTTTTTCCCTGGGGACCCCCAACTCTCCCCGGCACCCCCTCGACCTCTCTGACCGCGTCTCCTTTCTCTATAGCTCAGCTTCATGACGCTCTCCATATTCCTGTGCAGAAACCTGGACCACGTCTACGATCGGCTCGCTCGGTACCGATAGGCCCCGACCTTCCCGAAGCCCTGCCCCGCCCCCCTCAAGTGCCCTGGGCATTTAGTTCCCTGTCGCCTGTAAATATTTGTTTAATCCCCAGCTGGTCCCAGCCATTGAGCCCTCATTCCCCTCGGGGACCCAGATGTCTGCCTGACCCGCTGTTGTCACCTCTCCCGTGGGACCTGGGGTTTCCGGCCACCAGCTTCCTGCCCCTAAAGACACCTCATTTCTTTGCCTCTTCTGTCGGCCTACCACCTCCCACTAGATTATTTTTAGCCCAAACGCCAAATAAATCCCCTGCGTTTTGGTAAAATAGCTTTATCCTCTGTCAAAACACAAACCAACACACTTTGGGGGGAGGGGAGGAGAAGGAGGCAACAC